ATTCCACTTTCAATCAGAACGTCTTCAAGTCCAGCCCCTGAGAACTTCTTGCCAATTACAGAAAGGAACATGCAAACCGTATGAAATGTCCCCATCCTAAAAACCACGGCAAATGGAGAGTGCTTGTTTATCTCCAGTTAAATTCTTTTACATAGGAATGAATCTCTTGCAATATTATCGCACCTCTTAATTGTAGGTGAATTGTATTTTAATGTGCAGTTTTATTGTGACCATGCTGCCTTTAAAGAAACGAACAAAATCAACTTGAATCTTACCTTGGAAACACTGTTTTCAGTTGCTTTAACTGAAGAAGCCATTAATAAATTTTCCGAGACAGGCAGTCAGGGCTGAAGCACTTGTTGCTTGTACCAGGTACAAGTGGTCTTCTTTTGTAAAATTTTTGGGGCTTGCCTCTCTCGTTTCACAACCAGTACATTCAGTGTATCCTGACGCGAATTTCTGCTATTGGATGCTCATGCACAGAAGCCTTCATCCAAGAACATCTACCACGTCTTACCAGCCTCTGGAGAATGCAGTACCGATGTACATACTACAGTCCAGAGATGGAAAGTTTGATAATACCCCAGGTTCATGGCTTGAACCTAACCATTTCTTATCACTAATTATTGAGAAGAAAGAGGCTAAAACTTGCCCTGTGAAGAAGCAAGAAATCAAGGACTGCCTTAGGGTGAAAGCAAAACAACAAGCAATGCTGTCCTCCTTTATCAAGGCAAAGTCCACTATGGGAAGCAGTCAGGCCAGTAGGTCAACTCTTATTGGAGGTCCATCTGGGCAAAACGAACAGCTGCAGCTGCTAACCTCAGCAAAGAAATTCAACCAGATGCCAAAATTTCACCTGCGCCACCCATAGAGAATATCGACTAGAGTAAGATGCTACGCAAGTGGAAAGATGAATTTCCATGGCTAACTATTAGGGAACAAGACCAAGCCTTCTTGTGTAGCCTCTGTTGTAAAGCCCCAGATGTAGCAGGCCACACACAGTTTTTGACAGGCTGTTTCTCCATCAAGAAGGAATCCATGCAGAAGCATGCAAAAAGTAATGGCCACTTGCGTGCACAGAATGCTGTACTAGCTATGCAGAAGCCAGTGCATGAGACTGTGATTGGCGAGAGCTTCAACAAAAGCAGGAAGGACGAGGAAGAAAAGGAACGAAGAGAGGTAGCAGTGAAGATGACAAAAGCCTTCTTCACTGGGAAGCAGGAACGGATGGAGCCATGGATGTAGGTGGTTTTGAAAAAACTGTTTCTGTTGGTACCTAAAAGATGGTCACCCAGTTAATTGCTTGATTGGATACAAGGCAGTTGAGCATGCACATGTGGAAGGTAAGTGAAATAAAGGAAGAGGAAGAAAAGGCCACACAATGGACTGAGGGTTGCAGGTATATATTTTTTCCCCTGTTAAAGCAAGACCTTTGCATCATAAGGTGTTCGATGCATACGATATTTGTAGTAGCAACTAGTTAGAAATTGTTGTAAACATATTATTAATGAATTCCCAGCTCTTGTTAATTATATGGAAAAACAGAAGTTTTAATTCTTGGTGTTTTTCTTGAAATATTTTTTTTTAGACAAAAGAGGTAAAAAAATTAGGGTGCGTATTATACACAGGTGCGCATTATACATGGGTAAATATGGTATTCTGGGCAATCAAGCTTCAACCAACACTCATGGCAGCCAAGCCCCAAATAGCAATCCAGGCAACCAAACCTCCATCATAAAGATATGTTCACCGTACGGACTTCATCCTACAATTTGCACGGAAATCATATCATGTCCCTTCCCAACCCAAAAACAATGACATATGGTCTGCACTCTTTTTCATACTTAGCTAGCAAAATATGGAACTCTCTCCCCATACACTTAAGGAATATTAAATTTTCTAAAATTCAAGTAGATCCTCAGATATGAAGTTTTCCCACAGTAGATCTACAAGTTATATTGCATGCATAATGTTGTATATAGTTTAAAAATAATATTGTATATAGTTTATAAATAGTATTGCATATAGTTTATAAATAATATTGAATTGTTAGATAGCATATTTTTATTTTATTTTAGCTTATTTTCTCAAATATATTAGCTCTACAGCTATACTGAATTTCGAGCTTAAATAAAGTATATGTATGTATCAGCTGTCTCAGCAATCAAGCCTCTACCAGCACTGTGATCAACCAAGCCTCTGCCAGCACTCTGAGCAACCAAAATTCCTCTAGCAGTTTGAGAAACCAAGTCTTTGTAAGCTCTCTTAGCAACGAAGCCTTCATCAGCACTCTGAGCTTTCAAGCCCCCACAATCAGCAATCAAGCCTCCAACAGCACTCTTCCCAACCAATCCTCTACCAGCACTCTCAGCAGCTAATCCTCTGCCAGTTTAATGCATAATCAAAACCTCATTGCCTATATCCATTATGTCACTCCTGTTTTATCAGGCACAAGCAGATGCTAAAACTGCGACAAGAATTTTGAAATGCAGTTGCAGACAAAGGATGACATGCGATGAGAACAAAGCTGTCAGAATTTCTGTCTGTTGAATGTAAGACAAGTCCAGTAAAACTCATCAATTATGACATTGATAAAACTGATAACAAAAGTGTACTCATGGGTGCAAGAGTGAAACTATTTGAAATGCCAGTTTCATTTCCTAAAGCAACACTGACCTCTGGGAAGAAGAAGAAGAAGAAGAAGAACCTTTATTGATTTATACTGCTCAGGGTAGCCCCTTCAGATGCAAAAAGCTGTCTGTTATCAATGGGAGCCCTGAGCACAATAATGTACTAAAACTATGGTATACATGTGCATTACACTGACACTGATAGAAATATAGATAGAAAACTATGTACAAATAAAAAATTTAGAAGTAAATTAATACGAAATACCATCAAGATAGTTCATTAAAAAGAGTGCAACCATAGTAATAAAAAGATCGTTTTGCGATCTCAGTCCTCACAATAGGTGGATGTAAAAGGTTGCTTTGTCTAGTGGCGTGGGTGTAAATTTCATTATTACGTTTAAAATATTCTTTAAAATATTGGGGACATTGACCTTGCAGGCATTTCTTAATGAGTTTGAAAACAGTTTTATGACAGCGCTCCACCAGCGTGGGCCATTTGAGAACGTCCGTTGCTGGGTTGCTGCATACAGTTCTTGCAACTATTCTGGCAGCCCGGTTTTGGAGGGCTTCAAGGCCATTTTTGTGACCTTCCCTGCAGCAGCGACACACACTTACACAGTATTCTAAAATTGGCCTAATTAGACTACAATAAACTACATTTGCACTCTCTCTAGTGAGGCTTCTACGAAGCCTGCTGAGCATTCCCATGCGCTTTCCCGCCCTCGAAATAAGCTGCTTTATTTGCTTGTTCCAGCTGAGGCAGTCATCAAAAACTATACTGAGTGTAGCTCCTATTGCAGGCCTATGTCTTACATAAAACATCCGGGCAATCGCCCATGTGCTTTTGGAAGGAAAATTGTCACGTTCATGTTGAGAAATTTGTTACAGTGAATTATCGTTGTTCATAGAAACCCTAAGCTCGAACAGTCGGTGAGTTTTCATTGTATTTGTGTTTATTGTAATTTTGTTTGTTCTAAGCATATCTGTTTGCAGAAAACCTCCCTTACTGGTTTAGTTGAGTTTTTTATTTCAAGCATTATGTGTTTCTGCGAAATAAACAACAGTTTTCGACTTCTACGAATTGGTTGTGGAGTTTAGAGGTTTAACTTGTTTCATAAGAGTATTTGGAAGTGGCATAGGCATCGTAATTTTATTTCGGGTATTATTATTCGGTTGGAACACTTTGATTTTGGAATTATGGAAGATAACCTTAAGCTACATTTGAATTCTTCACATCAACAAGCGAGTGATCGTGCACACTCGACCATATTGGGTGGTTCGATGGAAATTGAGGAAGAAAGCGGCGCAGGAAATATTTAAGTCAACTTGCATAATGAAGTTGAAGACGTCGAGGGATATTTGAACTAGAAGAAACACACTCTAAAAAAATCGCGCTCTGGCTATGTTGGAAATCTGACCAGAATACACAACGAGATTACCCATTTGATGGAAAACGGCAGTACCCAGGACAAAATCTCAAAGGAAATGGAAAATTTTAATGACAGGTGGATTAAATTTGTGGATGTCCATGATAAATACTGCAAATGTTTGGTTATTGGTGTTGACACTTCGGCATTGGAAAAGGCTGAGAAAGGTTATAAGGAGCAAATGGAACGAAAATTAAATCTCGATACTGCTGTGAAATGGTGGCGACCCGAGTATCAACACAGCGGTGTGTTCTTCGAGTACGATGTCCCGAAAAAGGGAAGCTCTCGCTTTAGCTCAGCTTAAGATCCACCAATTGAAAGTTTGCCAGCGATTGGATGAAGAAGAACATGAGATTTGAAGAAAAAGAGAGTCAATGGGAGCCAAAATGGAGGCAGAAAAGGCTGCTGTGTCATTAAAAATTTATGAAGAAGAAGAAATAGGAGAAGAAGGAAGAGACGTGGAGTTAGTAATTAGTCATGACAAAGAACATTGGCAGCCACCTCTTTAGAATGGAACACCATCCCTGTTCCTACCATTCCATCTTAGACTAATTATTTAAATGGCGTTACATCATCTCAGACACCTTACAAGTAACAGCCTAGATTTACATCCTCATTGGATAACCCTGCCTCTGGAACTGTTAGTGGCGTTACATCATCTGTGACACCTACAAGTAACACAGTAACAAGTTCGTTAACTGTACCTGTGATTCAGCCCTGGGAATTGCAGCACACTACTTCCCGCTTGCCAAGTAGGGATTCGAAACCCTTGTTTGTTGATTCTGTAGTATCCAGTATTAAGTCTTCACAAGCATTGTATGAACAGCCTGTTAAAGAATCGTGGTCTTCTGTTTGGCAAATGCCGCAAGCTTAGACATCACAAAATGTGACATGTAACACAACACCAGCACAGCAGGTACAGCACTTTGACAGTGGAAGGGAAATGGTGAAAGCACTGAGGCAAGTGGTTACCTCGCCAAAAATTGAATACCTCAGGTCTGATGGAGATCCACCCAGATATGTGTCATTTATTCACAGCTTCGAAACTTATTTGGAACAGGACAACCCCGACGACTCCAGGCGGCTCCAACTACTGATCCAGCACTGCACTGGAAAGGCAAGAGAAGCGGTCAAGAGCTGTGAGAATTTACCAGTTTCTGATGGTTATCAAGTGGCAAAGGAAACACTGTGCGAGAATTTCGGAACGCCACATTTAATTGCAGATGTGCATATCAAGAAATTGCTACGTCTACCCAGCCTGAAGAATGTGGATGGACCTTACTTATTGGAATTTAGTAGTAACGAGTTTGGATACGACATTAACTCTGGACCCTCCACAGAAACAATTCTCGGAAGGAGTAAGGGGAATTAGAGCAAACCTCCCCTCCACTCGTCAACATTCTTGACTGAAACTGGATCAAGCAATGTCATCAGAATGAAAACAAGAGAGGGCCAGACTTCGTAAAGAAACAAGCTCCTTGTCTGGTTTGTTCCGAGCGACATGAAATTTGGAAGTGCGAAAGGTTCAAAGGTTTCACATATAGTCTGGGAGCAAATGTCATTGGCATGATCCTCCCTGTTGATTTATGCTAATTTACATAGGTCACGTGACCTTACGCATGAAAGCGAGGCCGAAACACATAATTTACTATAAATTAGTCAAAAAAATCCTTATCATGCCAAACTTGCTCACCTTAGGCATCGATTGGTGCCACTTTGTAGTGTCACGTGACCCCATACATGACAATGAGGCTGGATTGCAAAACACGCCAAAGGTGAACAAATCATCCAGGACAATAACGTTGACTCATTGTTATGCATATTAATGCTGTATGTATAGCATTTGAATGAAAAAAATAAAAGCTAAAAAGGTGTAATGATAGTGTATTTTGTGTCGCTTATATAAATTTATTATGAGCGATTTCTACAATCCTATTTCGCACAAATTCCACAAATTCCCCACAAATATCTCAAGTGTTAACTTCTGTCAACATTAGCGGTTCAACCGGTTTCCATCGAACAGGCCGCGCAATTTGAGTTTGGAGAAAACATGGCTTTGTTTCCCTCAGCATTCCCGGACACGATCCTCCGATTGAAATAACTATGTATATGGATGTTACAACCAACCCGGGCCCAAGCTCTTCCTTACATCAATGAAACTGGCAAACAGATGGAACCATAAATCATCCTCCAAGTTTTAAAATTCGGGAATTCAGTTTGTCTTTCCTATTTGCATACTAACGACTGCATGAGACTCTGTTATTCACGCCAAGATCTTCTCAATATTCGCCGTACCATCTCAATACCGCCACATTCTAACGCTCTAGGCGCGTTAAAACTTGCTGGAATTCTGAGATATCGTGGAAAGAGAGCAGGAAAGCACCGAATACCAGTAATTATATCCAATCAATTGCTGAAAACACGACACTTGCAAAGAAGTTATCAATGGGCACCGGGAAGAAACATCAATAATTTGATTACAATTCCAACAAAGAATGGCAAAATGCAAAAGCAAAACACCAGCCATTTCGTACCAACCATTATGTTAGCGAATACTATGTCACTGGTTCCTAAGCTGAGTGAAGTTGAAGAACTAATCTTAAGGAAAAAAATTCAGGTCTGCTGCATTACAGAAACCTGGCTGAAAGACCACATCAGCGACACATTTGTAAACATTGAAGGATATAACATCACACGGAACGACCGATCATCTCACGAGCATGGAGGAGTCTGTGTATACGTCAAGGAGGACGTCAAATATGAAATTCCCGAGAAGTTACGTTGCTGTAACGACCATGAAATAATCTGGCTCAAATTAGATCCATCACGCTCTCCCCGCGGTTTTTCTTGCATCTTGCTGGCCGTCGTTTACTACCCAGGCCGTAACAGTCCAGCAGAATCCGACAGTCAGAATTTGCTCAACCATCTATTTGACAGTTTGAAATCCGCCGAATCTTTGTATCCAAATTGTGGAATTATTGTCACTGGCGATTTTAACCGTCTTGATATGTGCCATTTGCGGAACCATTTTAATTTAAAGCGGCTTGTTAAATTCCCCACAAGAGGCCAGGCCACGCTTGATCTAATACTAACAAACATGGGCAATCACTTCTCAACGCCCGAGAGCTTTCCCCCCTTTGGTCTGTCAGACCATAGCACAGTCATCGTAAAGCCGAAGGAAAGGATACTGAACTAACATACCAGGAAAAAGATCAATATCAGGGATATGAGAGAAAGCAAGAAGACAAGTCTCGGCTGCAATCTCAGCAATGTTGACTGGTCATGCATCAATATGCAAAGCTCCTGTGAGGGAAAACTCCGCAATTTCAACGAACTGATAACAAACGGCATAAATAACATCATGCCAGAAAGGTCGATTAAAGTTTACCCGAAGGACGCCCCTTGGATGACAATAAAACTCAAGGAGTTGATTCGTTTGCGTCAAAATGCATTTCATTCCAACAAGAAGGGTCCAGTTTTCAGATTCTACCGCAATGCTGTCAATAGAGAAAGGAAACTATGCAAAGCAGCCTACTATACTTCAAAAGTGCAAGATCTCAAAGGTGTGAATCCCCGTCAGTGGTGGAAAGAGATAAATAAACTGAGTGGATCCAAAAAACAAAACCCCAATTTACTGTCCTCCCTCGATGTACAACAATTCACCAACATGTCCCCCCAAGAAATCGCCAGTGCAATAAATGAAGCTCTTCTAGAACCGCTCCAGTCTTATCAGCCTATCAACTGTGAGAACACGTCTGTTCTCCTTCCTACAGGAGAAGGCGCCGAATTCCCTAAAATATCAACACATCGAGTGTACATTAATCTGAAACGCCTCAACAAACACAAAGCTCCTGGCCCGGACGGCATACCTAATTGGGTTCTAAAGGAATATGCCAAAATTTTAGCACAGCCCATAACGGACATTTTGAACACTTCCTACAAAGAACAAAAATTGCCGTCAGTCAAGGAAATTGGCGAATATAACACCCCTCCCAAAGGTAAAACAAGTGACTGATCCCAAGAAGGAGCTAAGGCCAATTTCACTTACACCTGCGTTATCAAAACTTGCTGAGGATTTTATAGTTTCTGACTTCATCAAACCGGCCGTGGAAAAAGTAGTGGACCCAAATCAGTTCGGAACGGTATCTGGATCATCCACTGTACTGGCACTCATAAGCATGATACACAATTGGCTTGAAGCAACAGACGGAAACGGAGCGTGCATCTTCCCTGGAGCATCATACAAAGAAGCCCTCAATCAAGCAAACATCCCAAGCTTGAGAACCCACCAAGAACAGTTGACATTGACACTTTTCCGATCAGTTTTAGAAAACAAAAACAACAAAATTCGTTCTTTGATCCCAAAAAGTTATCAGGCTAATTACAATTTTAGGAAACAGAGGAATTTCAATCTTAATCGTTGTAAGACCGACAGAGCGACAACAAGTTTCATAAATATGTGTTGCAGAAACAGTTTGTACAATTAATTAATGTGAAGTTACGCAATTCAGTTTTATCTGCAATGTAATTTTAATAAAACAGTCTATCTATCTATCTGGATTCTTAACCTAGGGGGCCTGGGTGATTGTGAGCCTGAACTATTGGTCAGCGGTAATTATTTGAGTGTCCGCCATTTTGTACTTACAGTCATCACAGTGCTTGTAGTATGACGGATTTTGGCCGGTCTAATGCCCTTTAGATTTTAAGCTATATGTAATCTGCCAAGAAAAAAGCACAGCCAATCTTGTTGAAAATCCAATTTCCCATCAAAAGCTTATAGAAGCAATCGAAGAACGTTCAAAGTACGAGGACATCAACTCAAAAAAATTGTGGCTTGTGCTTAAAGATCTACCACGAGAAGAGCTTAAAGAAAAAGCAACATGGCATAGGTCGTGCTACCAAGAAACCACCCACTCAGGAAAGATTAAGAGGGTAAAAGAGAGGTTTCAGAGAGAGGTTAGAGGGCCAAATGAAGCTCGAAGAAAGACAAGTGAATCGCTTCAGGTAATTGCTAGGTGTAATGGCTCATAACTTTAATTTTTTACTTTATTGTGTTTTTCTTCTTGGAATCGCTGAAAAGGTAATGACATCCTTGACATCTCAAAACATTTCATTTCATTTCACTAACCAGGGTCTTTTTACAAGGTCGAAAACCGTCCCTTATGACAGCAATCTGTGCTTCTTTTGTGAAGAGAAAGCAAAGTACCAGAACCCTCAGCATTTGATGTCAACATCATCTGCTGGTAGCTCTCTTGATAATGTAGTAAAGCAATCAAAGGATCCTAAACTGCTCGTGAAGCTCTCGACGGCTCTAGACAGCACTGACGCTCATGCCATTGATATTAAATATCATAAAAGCTGCTAGGCGAAGCATGTGACTGGGGTCCTGCATAAAACTATCAAAGATGACGAGGAAAGGTCAAGAAGTGAGACAGCGGCTAAGCTGGAGTTTTTGAACCTTACCCAAGCTGCCCTCAATAGCGGAGAAATACTCAACATGGCACAGTTGGAACAGGCTTTTGATTCCATTTCAAACAAGACTCAGCCGACATTCAGTTAAAGAGCTTATCCAGAAAGAGATAAAGGAAGTTGAGTTCCATGAGCCCACTAGAGCTGATGAGCCCGAGAGGGTCAGTGTAAAGCAGTGTAGGGATGCCGCTATCCATATTGTAGAATCCACAGCTGACAGTGATGAATCTATGAAAACTCTCTTTGATGCCGCTTCAATATTGAGAAAGGCTATTAATCGAAGCAAGAAATGGGTCTTCTCTGGCTCTCTTCAGCTGCTTCTTCAGGTGGATAATCCAAGGTCCCAATAAGACACTATCTGATAAAAAGTGCAATGAGGTACACAAAAGAGCAATGCAATTAGCGCAGAATACAATAGCTTTGTGTCTAACGGACAGGTAGGTTGACAATAAGAGGTCGAAAGCGGTCTACTGCACTAGAGAAATACCCCAACACCTCGCAGTTAGCCTAGCAATACACCAAGCAGTACGAAGCAAAGAGCTGGTTAATCTCCTCCATGGATTTGGCATGGCTGTAGAGTACAATCGCCTGTTGAGATTGGAGTCACAAATTGAGGAAACTGTCCTGAATTGCATAGAGAGTGAAGGTGGCATGTTTCTCCCTCCGGATATCTTGAAAGGACAGCATGTATTTTTTGCTATTGATAATATCGATTTCTCAGAGGATATGCCGGACGGGAGGCGTACTCTACACGGCACAGGAATGGCTATTAATGAGAAAGTGGAACCCCAAGATGAAGAACTTGTATTAAGGTACCATAACTGTTCTACTAAGAAGCATGATGCACTAATTTAATCCCAAGTGCTCGATGGAAGGGGGGTTAATTAGATAATAGACGTTTAATTTTACTTTTACTTTGCCATGACTGGTCTGTGTGATTCAGGTTTTTCTTTGTTTCAATAAGACTAGCTAGTAAGTTAAAAGCTAATCTCATTTCTAGGATGTAGGATAGAAAAGATCCCCTTCTTGAACAGCATTTTGCTTCATAAGTAGCTGTTGTTGCGTTTTGTTTTTCATTTTGATAGATTAGAGGAGCCAAATGATTCATGCCGTTCTGTAACAGAACTGCTGAATCGCTGACATCTTTAATGCCATACGTGGAGCTGCCATCAAGGCCCCCTTCTCTTGTGTACCCTACATTTGAGCTGTCATCAGAACAAGAGTTGCCCCAAAACATCCATGATGAGAATGCTACCTGGATAGTGTCTCATACCCTTAAAGGCCATGATGCCCCAAGTGATGATGATAATGATGAGCCTCCTGTACCCGTATGGTCAGCCTACAACTCTTTGGTAAATGAAGCACTACCTGTCACACATGTCGGTGCTCCTCCATTGTTGGCACATCCTGCTCATGAATGGAGCATGCTCCTCACAGTTCTAATGCTTGCTCAAAATATCTCTGTTAGAGTAGTTGGTCCCGGGAGGAAAACAGTCATATCACTAGACCTTGGTTTGTATCTGCCCGCCAAACGATTACAGATGGCCCAATGCGAGCTCAAGAACATTCTCCTTCAACCAGGGGAGCCGCATGTGGTTAGGGCTATGCTGAGGACCATTGGGTCATATATTGACAGTACTGGGATAGACATGTGCTGGATCAAGTCGGAACTTTTATGGCCCCTCCACCCTCCACAGATAATCGATGGCAAGCATGTTAAGCACGGTAAAAGAGCACACATGATCACCTTACAGGCTTTATTTTCCTTATACCTGGAAGCATTTCTAAAAGGCTCTCCTGATGTACATCGTATCCTTGAGGGACTCTCTATGAAAGTTGGAGATGCGTGCAAAAAAGGCACTAAGGAGAATATCCAGACGGCACACCATAGCTCTACCAATGTGATCCAGTCTTCTGAAGTAGTCAAGAAGATGTCTGATTTTGACGCTGCAAATGCCACAAATCCTCTCTTTACTGTATTTCGCCAATACATGTGCATGGTAATGGAGCTGTTCGCATTCATCCAGGCAGTCCACAGTGGTGATTGGAAGCTCCATCTAATTGCACTGGAGTTGTTCACAAAGTACTTCTTTGTGCATGACAAGATTTGTTATCTAAGGATGATCCCCTTGTACTTAGCTGAAGTGGCATCCCTCGAATCATCAGACCCTGAGATCTATGGAGAGTTCACCACAGGAAACTGGGTAGTGAACAAAAACAAGGAGGTTCCCTTCTGTGCTGTTGGTGGTGATACTGCGTTGGAACACCTCAATCGATCTATGAAAGTTTCTGGTGGGCTTGAAGGGAACACTTTGAATGAGAGCGCACAAGCCAAGTTTTTCCTCATTGCCCCAGAACTAGCCCGACTCACAGCAGAAGCCAAGGCAATGGCGGGTCTTGTTCCGGAACGTGCACACCATCGAGAACTAAACTCAGCTGTTTTGATGGATGAAGATAACAGCCTAAATAAGTTGACCGAGACAATCAAGACCTTCACCAATCCTTTTTCATCAGACCAGAACACTAACACTGATCTGTACAACTTGGTCACAAAAGTTGTGATGAATGAGAAAACGAAGAAAGATCTTGTTAATCAGAGTGAAGAAGGGAGAAAGCTATTCAGTGCTTTTGTACAAGATAGGATCAAGACAGGAAAGATCAACCTCTGGGCTCCTGTAAAGAAGCACAAACTTCTTACCTGGAAAACGAGTGCTAAGGTCATCAAAG